TGTATGAATTGTTCGTCTTCCGGTGTATGACGACGAGATTTTGTGGCGATCGGTTTGTAATTTGGAGCAAGATTGGTGAATAAGGATGCAGATTCCAGTTTTGCAGATGTTAGGCAACATACAGTTAGAGTACCCCATTGACCACCAAATGGAATTTCGAATTTATCATGTAACCCCAGAAAATCATGTCCGAGAAGGACGTCTGCACAAAGGTTCGGTAATACGCAAATTCTGAAACGTTCGTATATAGCATCCTTGTACTGAATGGACACAAGGCAATAACCTTTGGTGGAACATGAATGTATCGTCGACGCCATTGTTATCACAGAGTCGTACGGAAATAGCTCCCAGTTATGTGTTTGCAGGATTGATGAAGAAACGAAACTTCTGGAGCTGCCGGTATCAATAAGAGCTCGGACAACAACGCCGTTGACCAAAATATCTGTTGTAGTTTTGGATAGGCAATTGGGAGCAGCAGCACAAAACAGCGAGGAGATTGAACAGTCTTGAGCTAAACCCGCGTGATATTTCGAGACTTTGGACCTACGGACACGTTGAAAATGTCCAATTTTTCAACAACTCTTGCACACTGATTCTACAGCGGGACACATAACGAGGGTGTTTGGGGTTGCCACGAAAGTAACATGTTCGTTGTGTAGCGGCAGAACCGTTGTTTCGAAATTAACGATGGGTAAAGGAGTAGATACCGAACAAGTAACGGGTTGTCTGTATACGTATGATTGTGACTGTTTTTGTGCAAGTTCGAGAGCTCGTGCGGCTTCATGGGCTTTGTCAAGGTCCAATTCATGCCACGTTAGCAGTTTCTCCCGAATGGTATTCGACTGCAATCCGGTTATCAGAGCATCCCGAACTGCTTCGTTTGTATGTTCCACAGTAGATACTGCTTTGAATTCACAGTCTTTAGCAAGCGATTTCAGTTTTTGAATGAATTGGTCGACATCTTGACCAAGTACTTGATTGTATGTGGCTAAAAGATGGCATGCATACACGATATTTTTCGGGCGGATGTAAAGTTTTTCCAGCAAGGTTATCGCAGAATCGTAGTCGCTGCATTCTGCGATGAAGTCATACACTGTATGGTCGATGTGACGAATGAGAGTTTCCAATTTATTTAGACCTTCGGGTTTGACTGAGTTAATGTAAGCTTTGAAAGTACGGAACCAATGAGTACATCGTTTCATGCCATCTGATGAGTGAGGATCAGCATCAAAAACCGTAGGTCGGAGAATATGATCCATTTCGTTTTTATTAGACGATTAAATTGTTGCGATATTCGAGTAGTTCCAGGACGGGATTAGAAAGGAGACAGAATAGGAAGACGTAATGTACGCTTTAATCGTCTAATAACTGTAGTACATGAGCTGAAAATAGAATGAGAATCACGAGTTAATGGGTTGTGCAAAGATATGGGTTATATTCATGACACCATGTGTACGAAATCCTTGACCAGTCGTGTTTGAAACTGCCGGCTCCTAGAAGGGAAACAAGGAAGGAGGTATGCCACTAGCTACTGATATTCACAGGCATGACTGACTCAGGCAACCAATAGCGCTACCGCATGAAATTTATCAACTTTCATGCCTACCTGTTTCGTCTGTTCTTCTTGATAAGCTTGCTCACCAAGGACGGCCCCGGAAGTTTGTGAACATAATAAGTTCTTTGTATTCGAAGACTTTCGGGCGTGTGAGTATACGGCGCCTTCTTCAAAAGCCACCGTACACAAAGTGGTGTCTGTCAGGGATGCCCAATCTCCCCATTCTTGTTTAACTTTGTGATCGATGAAATCATGAAACGAATGCTCGAGGGTCTCCAAAACCCTGGTGTTCAAATAGCCTGTGAAGAAAACCTTGTCAATCTGGAATATGCAGACGACATCGTTCTCATCCTCGAAGAGGAGGAGAAGGTGCTAGTATTCT